CGGCAGCGCTCCCGGGCTCCCCCCTCGGCCGGGGCGCCCTTGCCGCGTGTAGAGGAGGGAAGGGCGGTTTTGGTGCGGCGCATCCCCTCCCGGTGTCCCGGTCCCGCGGCGGTAACTGGGGCAGGGTCGGGGAGCCAAGGGAAGCCGGAGCCGCGACCCAGCCTGCCTGCGGCCCCCCGCCCCTTCCCGCGTCCGTCCTTGCGACCCTGCATCGCCTGCTGCTTCGGGAGTTGCTTTTGCGGTGGCTGGTGCGGAGGGGAGGGGAGCGTGGGAGCCGTGCCCGCTGGCGGAGCTCCATCCCGGCTTCGTGCTCCGACTGGGAATGGGAAGCCCCAGAGCGCTGTCTAGCTGGCCTCGGCTTGCAGCTGGAAGCATCAAGGTCAGGCGTTTCGGGACAGGAGACTTTGCGGGGTTTCCTTAGGAATGGCTGGAAACTCAGAAGTATTGGAGCTGGACTGGTGTCTGAGAAGATGAGGGCTTTGCTGAATTAAGCCTTTTCGTGGAGAAGACCGTGAGAAGATGATAACTCTTTTTAGTGTTGGCTGTGGGATTCCGTAGTAATCCTGGCACTCCGATGACCTCTTCCTTGTCTTTCTCTCTTGTGGGGATTTTCTTTTGTATTGCTTAAACAAAAGAAAATAGTCCTTTGTGTTACAGGAGGACCCTTGCAAGGGGACTGTTGTAAGAAAAATGTAATTTTCATAGGATGGGAAAGTTAGGTTTCTGGGGTGAAGAGGAGTTTTGTTTTGGTTTACAATTAGGAAAAGATGCCTAACAGGAGCTTCATCATCTCTGCTGTGGATAATTTAGTAGTCTTTATGGTACTATTTTACTCTTACTTTTTTATTTCTATATGAACTATTCTGACTCAGATGATCAGGCATTGCTGCGAAGATAGGCCAACATTGTTCACCAAGCTAAAATGTTTTTTTAAAAAAAAAAGTATTCTGGATGTAGAGTTGTTTTGAGGTCTTTAAATTAGGACTGAAACAGAATCCAAGTTGAGGTCTTCATGAATTTGGTGAATTCAGACTCTGATTCCCAAATTGAAGTTTCTTTTTTTTTTTTTTTTTTTTTTTCTTAAGAATTTTGCAGTTCTGCTCTCACTTGTATGAAATTGTTTCCTGCAACATTTATGCTGAGGTATTTTTCTCCTTGCAGAAGTCCATTCCTCACCCATGAACATTTCCACTTCCTGTATGATGTAGAGATTTTGTAATGTCTGTGACCAGCGCTTGTGCTGCTTGTACGCAGGAAGTCTGGCCAGATGTCTCTTCTGGCTTCATGTGCCCGAAAACAAGTAAGGTGCAGCCAGTGTGTGCCTGCTACAGACTATGACTTTCTCTCTGTTTTTTCCATGTTTGCCAAAACATTGGTAAAACCTCATTTACCCCTCTTCCCTTCCCCTTTTTTTGTAGTGATCCTAGACAGTGAATTCTTAATTGGTTTAATTAATTACTCTCCAGGCATTTTGCATGCTGTCTCCAAGCTGTTAAAAATCAAAGGAAGAAGGCAGCAGGGAGAGAAACAAAAAGTCAAAGCCCTACCTTTTATGCAGGCAGTTTAGAAAGATTTGTGAGTGGGTTTTGGTTTTTTTAACACAAACTTCAGAAAATAAAAAGAAGCTTTAATACTTTGTCTAAAACTTGGAGTTTTTCTCTTCAGTTTAAATTTGTATCTTTCATCTTTGGTTAGTTTGAAAAAACCCTGTGAGCTAAGATGTAGTGCAGCTGTACAGGGAACTTAATACGTCACCCTTGTGTGTTGTGGACAAAAACCATGTGCCTGTGGCATGGGACAGTAGAGAAACAATCTCTGCCATATTGTGTCATCTCTGTGGAATAAGTATAGGTCCACAGTCCTTCCATGTATTTGCAGTTTAACAATTAATTTTAAATTATAAGTACTGTTTAATAATGGTAACCATGAAACAAAGCATACTCGTAATAGCATCCTTAGTGGGTCCATAATCTGTTTACAAAGACAGAAACCAAAAGGGGCAGCATCTTTATGCTTCTGTGGAAGTTATCAAGGTTCTGTGGAACTCTTATATTATAAATCTCATGGCTCAGCTAGGGAGAGTTCTTTTGTATGTGACCATATAATCTTAAAAAATGCAAATCAGTGCATTGTTAGTCCTTCCAAAGTGAGATGTGAAAACACAAGTGAGAGCCAGATATGAGCATATTCAAGGTTTTGAGACCAATGGGAGCTGTGCCTTTTGGTTCTAAAGGGTGGTTTGAAAGCTTTTGGGATCAAGATGTATTGCATTCCATCTTTATTTTGTCTGACTTCTTTTTGTTGACTGTCTGAACACCAATATGGAATGTATTATAATGCTTGTGTCAGAAGAATTCCTCTTTGGAGACTTCTGAAATATATTTTAATTTGTGTAGCAAAACCAGGCATACCCTGGGTGGAATCTCTGTTCTTGAAGAAATACGGAAACTTCCTGTTGTCTGAATGGTGAGAAATAACCATCTAAAGGAAAGTCTGGCTTGCTGTTCTCTGGAGTGGTTTGACCACAGCAATGGATGCTGGTCTTCCTTGGTTTCTCATTGCACCTGCATCACTTCTTTGTGTCTGACCCTCTCTCCCTGTCCCTCATCTGTGGAAGAAAAAATTTTTTTCTTCACAAGTGTGCTGCAGGGATTGGTATGTGTCTGCACAGTGCCTTGAGCATAAGGACATCAAAGGCTATTTCAGTTCACTTAAAAATAACAGAGTAGATGTGTTGTAATCCTAGGTCAAGAATGCTAATTATGCTTGGTCATGATTTTCTTTTTAATGGGCAGGGGTAGTATTTGGAAAATCATTCCCCCTTACTCACACTCCTTTTCCTCTTTTTCCTCAGTGCATACTTTTGTAAATACATACAAAGAGCAGCAGCCTTGAGACTTCTTGCTAGAAGTGTGTCAGTACATCACACAGTGGCTTTATTTGTTAGAAGGAAGACGGGTAGCTTTGTCTAACATTTTGTCTCAAGACCCTGAATTATAAAAACTAAAGCTTAGTAACTTTTCCCCTCACCTGCCAGGTCCCCTTCTAAATAGTGTAATTTCTGTGAGTGTGTAGCAGAGGTGTGTGGGCACAGCCCAGTTAGCTGTGACAGCTGTTTACTCTTTGTTCAGTATCCTCCTGAAAATCACCTAGGCTGTGAAAAAGACTAATGCTTTGCAAAGAATTGGGCTTTAGTTTGCCAGACTACTTTGTGTACTTGATACTGTTGTATGTAGTAGAGGTAAGAACTACTTGTGTTTGTCTCAGTAGAGTTACTAGATAGATGGCTGTTAATCCTGTTTAAACCAGGTGACTTTCTGGAGAGCAAAGTCTCGACACAGGTTATGAATAATTTTTCCACTGTGTTCAATAGATGTGCAGTGGATGCACATTTTCTTTAGCTATGACATGCTGCTCAGAAGGTCTACTCCAGCATTTCCTGAGTATCACAATTAAGAATAGTAGATGGCAGGACTGATACCTAAATGATTTTTGAAGGCTTTGTCTATTTTCCTCTTTATTCTATCAAGACTACCTCTAGGAAATGAGTAGATTTGGAGTTGAAACTTGGTAGAACTGTGTTTCTTCAGTCATTAGATTTCAGTGATAGAGTGTTCTGACAACTGCCATTGTAGTGAATTGTTCAACTGTACTTTTTTCTACTGTTCGTGATCTATTTGGCTTTCTGTTAAATTGATAATGTCTATGGAATCCTTGCCTCACCCAGGGTTGGGCATGGACAGATTATCCAGAGCATTAGGTTTGATGTTTCTCTGTTGTCACGGCTAACTCATATAAAACGATATTAACTAGTGACCTGTTTATTAGAGTGCATCGTGCACATCAGAGGGCACTTAGTTAACTGTGGTGTCTATATACTTAAGTCTTCAAGTGGGAGTGATGAACTTAAGTTCTTGATTCCCCTGTGGCTCTTCCACTTGTCATTCCCATTTGGGACTATGTCTCTAGACTGGATTTATGCTGGCACAGGGACAGCTGGATGGTCTGGATTGCTCACTGGGTTGCTACAGTCTATCTGCATACCTAGTCCAACCAGGTGGTATCCCACTAAAACCTCTGTGGAGCTTTTATCCTTACTTCCCTGGGAGTTTCTAGAGCTCCCTTCTCCCATGGCTCCCTGGGGTATCCAGATATATTGTGGCTTTCAGTTGTACACAGATTGTTATATTTAAGGTTTAAAGTCAGTAGCTTTGTTGATGTTGACCTAGGGAGAAATTTTTCATGTGCCAGCAGTTACATCCATAAAAAGCTTAAGTGTTCCTGGTAATGTTAACACAGAAGTTAGTATCTTGAGTACCTTATCTGTGTCTCTGAAGTTTCTCTTTAGTTTCATGGTAAGTGTCTTCAGGGTTGTTGAAATAGACCTTGCACTGTCGTTGGAGCTGAAGTTGTGCCTGAGATGTATTCTCTTTTACTTGTGTTCTGTGTGCATTGGCACAGCTGCAGCTGAAGTTTGAGGTGTAGTCAGAGGGTGGGGAAGAGTTACTGCTGGGGATGTGGTGTAAGCATCCAGCAGACTTGGGAGAACTGGGGAAAGGGACCTGACTCTTTCAGTAGGGTTTCTTTCATGCTTACGGTATATCTGACAGCCCTGTCAAGGCTGGTCTGTGGTTTGGTCTCCAGGTGTGCAGTGAGGAGGAGGGGGACACTGCTCTGCAGCAAAAAGTAGCTCACTGCATTAGTTCTTATGCTTGATCCTTTCATTTTCCAGGGGGTGGAAAATGACACAGGAGTGCTAAACTTTGAGGACTCATCATGGAGGACTCAGAAGGACATCACTTCAGCTCAGTGGAAGAGGAAACCAGATACTGGAGAGAGTTGGCTATGAAATACAAGCAGTGGTAAGGCAGTGGCTTCATTCCTCTTAAGCTGTTTGATAGGGTGCATAGTGCTGCATGCGCAGACATAGGTAGCACCACACGGGAGTAGATTCAAGGTGGTTCAGCTGTCTTGAGTGGTAGCAGTAGCAATGCTTCTGTATAAACTGCAGCAGCCAAGAATCCTTTATGCTTATTTGAGCAGTGAATCTCTGCTACCACTGCTGGTGTTGGCCCCTGCTTTGGTTTGAGGAAGACTGTGTGTACTAAAATTGTGCCTCTGACTGCAGTCTGTGGGCACCCCAGGTAAACTCACTGCAGAACCTTGTTGAGGGTGGATGATCTAGGCTGTTGCAGAAGGAGATGTTGCTGTTCACTCTTTGTATCTCTGGGTGGATCAAGAATAGTTTGACAGCACATAGGTGGAGGAGGATCCCTGACTGGGAATGGATGTACTCTGCTCTTCCCTATAGCTCACTACGTTGCTGTAATGAGTGAAAAAAAAAAAAATCCATATTTTTTTAAATGTTGGCGTTGGTGTGTCCTTTCTTAGACTAGGTGTTCAGACTTTCAGTGCTGCTTGTTTAGTTTGCTGGAGGATTATTTCAATAAATTGTTTAAAAATATAAGAATATCTTTCCTTCCATCTTTTTCTCTTTTTTTCACCTTTACTAATTGGAAATAGCTTTGTTCATATTTCCAAATAAATAATTAAATAACAGATTAAATATGCAGATGGCAGTGGACAATGTACAGGCTAAAGAGACTCCATGTGTCCTCAACTATAGTGTGATGACAAACTTTGGGATTTTTCTGTTTATTTAGGCTTTTTTTATTTGTTTACCAGTTTACCATGGGGTAGCTTTCTGTGCTTGACAGGGAAACATTTGTACATGGTCCTTTCTTACTGTTGAATATATATGTTGGAGAAGGGCATAGAGATTGCTGTGTTAAAGGGCAGTATTTTTTTTTTTACCTTGAGTATACAAGAGAGATCTTTTTCTTTGCTCATTACAATGAATTCTCTTGCTGGAATTGCTCTTTAGTGCTGAGAATACACAGGAGGAATTGCGTGAATTCCAAGAAGGGAGTCGAGAGTATGAAGCTGAACTGGAGACTCAGCTGCAGCAAACAGAGTCCAGAAACAGAGACCTTCTGTCGGAAAACAATCGTCTGCGAATGGAACTGGAGTCAGTTAAGGTAAGAGTGGATGATGCATACAGTAGCTGTACATCCTGAGTGCAAAGGTGAGACAGGCATGTGCAGATTCAGCTTGCTTTCTGGACAGGGACCTTCAGCACTCCAAAGAAATTGAACAGAACACTTAAAAAAAAGTATTGAAAAGTTAGGAAATACCAATCTGTTGTCTGCTCTGAGGGTGCTGGATGCCTTGGTAATGCTCCTGAACCTCTCCTTGCAGGTTGTGGCTATGTGTCAGGGTAGATTTGCAGTAGAGTGGAGAGTGAACATGAATGTAACAAGCTGCTGTTATTTTCCTTCTTCCATCTACTTAGTGCTTTTGTTCACAGCTTTCTTGCTGTCTGCATTGTGCAGACACAGATAATATTGCAGAATAATCAAAATATAAACATTCTAGCTGTGTTCTTGCATTACATAAGAAAGCTCAGTGGGTTTAAACATTTCTTTCTACATAGCTATGTGTTTATTATCTAGCATTTTAGTTAAGCTGGGAAGCAGCAGCCAGTGGATAACATATAGAAGTAAGAGCCATAAACCAGTTTCTGTCCTGCTTTTGTTACTGAATCTGTCTGTACTTGGGGGGAAAATAATTTATCCTGTTATGCTAAGAACCACTTGAAAAATATTAACATCCATAATTATAAGGCATATGAACTTATTGAGATGGAACTTCTTACCAGAGTGACTTAAGAAATAATGAAGCTATATAGAGTGTGAAGAGAGTCTGACTCATTTCAGTCTCATTAAAGATGCTGCTAGTCCCCTGTGCTGGTTGACAGGTTTAGGAAATACTGGTAAGTTTTCTTAAACTTGAAAAAAAAAGTCACTGAAATTGGTGTGCCTTTTAAAGGTTTTATCTTGTTGGCCTTTTTACTTAAAGGTGAGGTATAGTCACCCAAGAAACACTGCATTGTATTTTGTAGGGCTAGGCCAATAGCTTTGGAAGCAGAGATTAATTTAATTACACTTATTCTGCTCAACTGGATACAATAATTACCTAATGGGAGTGAAAATATTTGTATAAGGATTTTCAACCCCTTTTGTCTAAAGTGGTGTCCAAATTACTGTCTTAAGGAAATACTCTTCTGTCTCAGGCAGGTGTCCTGTCCCTCTAGCACCAATTTAGTGATCCCTGCCCTGCTTTTGTATAGCAAAACCTCTAAGGCTTGTTTCATTGTAGTTGTTATTACTGATCTTTGTTCTTCTTGTGTTAGTGCCTTAGCAGTATTAAATGCTCTGCATGTCATGTGGAGTGTTGGCCTACTGTTCCATGTAGCCACATAAACCCATGGAAGCTGATGGGTCTGGGGAGAAGGCATACGTTTGACAAAAATAAAACCTGCAGTTCATCTACTTGGGGAGGGTGTTAACTATTTTATTTTTTTAGAGGAGCTAAAGTGAGGAGGGGACAATGAACCAGCCAAAGCAGTTAAGAATAAAAACAGTAGGAAACAACATAGAACTTCAAAAAGTGGAGGGTAAACATATTTTAGAAAATCTTAAATTATTCTTCATAAAGTAGATAACTTTATTCAAACATTCTGCTTGAAACAAACCTTTTAACAATTGGCTATTCATCCAGCCTGAAAACTGCAGTAACAGCCTGCAGTGAAGGAACAGAGACTCCATTGATGGCCAGATCAGCTGATAGTTTATTACAATTGGCTAAAAACAAAGACTCAAACCTTGCAGTTCTGATCTTTTATCTGAATCAATTCAAGAGCAAAGCGTTAGACTCGTGAAGCTATTGAGCAGCAGTGTTAACTGAGCCCATCAAGGGTTGGTGTCTGCATCTAGGTCAACACTAGTGAACTTTGCCAGGCCCACACAGCTTGTGGCTTTGAGCTTACCGGATTAAGTGTATGTGCTTTCTCCCCCCTCAGAAACCAGAGTTTGCACTACTTTAAAATAAAAGGGAATAATGATTTGGAGGGTTTGTTTAGAGTGACAAAAAGCTAGTTGAAAGTAGTTTGGGGGCTCTTAAATTCAGCATGTAACTATGTTTCAGAGATCTGGAATTATAGCTGTGTCACCACACTGTAGTCAAATAAGAATTTTTAAATTCAGAATGGGTATCTCTTTTCCTCCTCCTTGTCTATGCATTTCATGTGCCAAAATAGCTATCTTCAATTTATCAGTTGTGCTAGACTACATGCCATGGTTTTCAAATTCCAGCACATGAATTAGTTTTCAGTGACTTCAAGTGTGTTGTACTGAAATGCAAGCACTTCAGGAATGCTACTTATACAGTAATCATGGAGTTTCAAAAAAATCTCTGGCATGTTGAGTGATCTGATAGCAAGGTGGAGGAGTATAAAGTGTTGCAGTAGATGGTGTGCTGTGAAGCTTTCCTGTCACTGCTAACTCCGCGTATAGCTGCAATATCAGGAGGGAGTGATGGAGAAGCTAAGCCCTGTGCCTCTCAAATGTACCCTTGTGTACGTGCTGTAAAGGGAGACAGAGTTCTAGATTCATATCCAAAGCATGTTGCATAACTGCACCTGAAACATTTTGTGATCTAGAACTCTCAACCTGCTTTGGGCTGATGAAACCAGAGGGGCAGTGGAGAATCCTGCTGGTTCTACAGCAGGTGTAACAGTGTCACACTTGGATTTTTTTTTTCTTGTTATTTAGGCTCCTAAGTACTTCTTGACTTTGTTAGAGTTGAAAGTAAGTGATTTCTCTGGCATCCTGCTTTGTGTGTTGCTAAAGCTCTTGGGGCTCAGAAATGATGCCGAGTCTCACTGTCTGGGAGAGCAAGGAATGACCCTGTGCTGTGGAGGTCAGGAACTGCTCCCTGGCACCATTGTTTGATAAGGAGTGACTGGAAGAGCTCTTGTCTGCTGACAGCCCAAAAGCATATGAGCAATTGGCTTTGTTAGCATTTTACCATATGTAAGGTAATGTTTCTCAAAGAACTTCACAGCATCTGCCTCTGCCTTTAAAGGGGATCAGACAGTGCCACAGAAAGAAAACATGCATTGCTAACTCCCTGATGTGCTGCTTGATTTGCCTTTGATCAGGAAAAGATTGAAATGCAGCATTCGGAAGGATACAGGCAAATCTCTGCGCTGGAAGATGACTTGGCACAGACAAAAGCTATTAAAGATCAACTTCAGAAATACATTCGAGAACTTGAGCAAGCAAATGATGACTTGGAAAGAGCAAAAAGGTGACCCAACTTCTGTGTTTTCTGTTTCCACCTCTGTTCTGTCCCGTGAGCGGGGTGTCACTGAGCTGTTTGTGATGCTGTGCTTGGCACTGCCATTCTGAACTAATCACTTCAGTGATGATTGTGATGAAGAGGTTTGTGGCAGATGGGAAATGCGATAAATTTTTCTCTCCTGTTCCATCCACTGCACTCTTTCATATCTTACAAGCTAAATAATAATAAGACAAAGCAAACCAAACAAAAAATGCAACATTAACCCTTTTGTTGTGAGAGAGGGTGTTCCTCTGTGAGCTTGAAGGAGCTGGTGGTGACATCTTGTGTACTGTTTTTTCAGAGCCACTATAATGTCTCTGGAGGATTTTGAACAGCGTTTAAACCAGGCTATTGAAAGAAATGCTTTTCTGGAGAGTGAGCTGGATGAGAAAGAAAACCTTCTGGAGTCCGTGCAGCGTCTGAAAGATGAAGCTAGAGGTTAGACAGAAAATACTTGTATCTCTCTCTCCCTTTCTCCCCTCCTGGCTTGTAGCTGTTCAGTCATCTCTATATATCTTAGAGCCTGGCTTTTCAGATTGCATCTTCTAAATCCTTTATTTGAAATGCTGAAGCTTCAAGACTGTTCCCCCCACACCTTGAACTCCTGACCTTGTTCCAGAGCAGCTCATAGAAGCAAAAGTCTGTTCCAGCCTTCTACTAATCTGTGGTAATGCTTTAGCAGGGGTTAAGAAGAGCCAGTCCAGCTGGGGCATGTGCTAGTCTGGCTTCCTGTAACCCATGAAGGTCAGCTTTAATAACCATTAACCTCATTGTTTCCTGGCCTGTGAAAAGTGGAGTCAATGCAACACTAATGGGGCTGTAAAACAGGAGGGCTGTGGCTGACTTCTAGTTACCTTTAAATAGCGTCATGTGCTAGCTGCTTGATATTTATCAATAAGGCTGGGTGAGAAGAGCTGGAAAAACACCTTCTATTTTCAGATCTGCTCAGGTTCTGTGCCCTTGAGTGGTTTCCATAAGCTATAGCCAGCCTGTGGGACAGAAGTGCTTTATCCCTTGGCTAGATAATGGTGTGGCTTCTACCTGGCCTCAGCTCAGGTTTCTTTCATGTGGAAACCAGTGTAGAAGAAAAGAGGGTGCAATAGGTAGGAACTTAACCTATCAGGGAGCTGGAATGTAGCCAGGGTGTGCCAAGCTGCCTAACCTCAGTCTTGGTGTGCCTCTGCTTACCAGCCTGTAAGATTTGGAAAGGAGTTAATTCCCTGCCTCAAAGGGAACCTTGTAAAAGGGTATGAAAATTGAAGCCAGATAGTAACAATTGGACTAATACTACAAAAACATCTTGAGCCACAATCCTAGAAAAGCCTTCAGTGATCATCCAGATTCTGAACATATGCCTGAAATAATCTTTAAAAGGATAAGTGACTTGACTTCACTCCCACAAGGGGAGAAAAAAGCTCTTTTGAACTAAAGATTCTCCCCTGTTTTTATCTTGATGAATACATACTCCAAAGGCTTGATATGTGTTGTCTCCTTCACAGATCTACGACAAGAGCTTGCAGTGCAGCAGAAACAGGAGAAACCCAAAACACCGATGCGAACTACCCTGGAAACAGAAAGAACAGACACTGCAGTTCAAGCATCCTTATCCGTGCCTTCCACTCCCTTGGTGCACCGGGCACCCAACATGAACATATCCACCCCTGCAACGTTTAGGAGAGGTGACTGACAGGGAACCAGCGCAGAAATACTATTTGCTCTTGTTTTTACTGTAACTTCTGGCTAAGGGAGGAAATTAAAGAAGGGAGCAGAGTTGAGTGTTTTGGTTAAATACACCTAAATCTAGTCACCATGGTCTCACTATTCACAGACTATGATTATTTTTGTTGTTGTTGTTTACTTACAGGCTTTTCATTTCTATTTGAATTGAACTGTCCAGCAATAATAATAGTGAGGGACAAGATAAGCTGTTGGGACTTTACTATTTGTTCACAACTGTTGCAGAGATGTTCGGCTAACTTAGGGGAAGGATTTTAAAATCTTCAGTATGATCTTTAATGTCACACTTGTTGCTTGACTTGGCTTCTCTTTGAGAGTAGCTGCTCTTTGAGTGAAGCTTTCTTTTTACTCTGGAACAGCAGGACGCTGACAGCTCATCCTGGGGTTTTGTACTAAATGACTACATCTCTGCTTCCATTTCTTTCTGGTTTTTTAAGTAAGAAGGAACTTGTGTAACTGTGCTCATGTGTATGTGTAAATGAGGGAGTCATACTGTCACATTCTAATGATTTGATATTACATCTCTGAGCTCTAACTAAGTTTGATTGTGGGCATCAGTATGCTTAACTTAAAATCATGTGGTTTGTGTGGAGGAATGAATGCTTCTGTAAAAGTGAGAGGATTTGGTGATTTGCAGTAAAATGAGAGATGATGGTCCTCTCTGAGGAGACATCCCTCTGGTCCCACTGCAGCAACAGAGATGCAAAGTAGGCTGGTAGAACAAATCTGTAGAAACCCAAGCCATAGCACATCTAGAGACTTTAGCTTAGGACTGTGTAACTTGAGCTGTCTTAGGGAGACAGTGCTTCATATTCCTAAAGGATATGAAAGATCTGGAGATGAGATACAAAAAGATGAAGATACTGATGTTTCCTCTCCTCTGCATGTTGGGCTATCTTTTGACTTCCAGTGTCAAAGCTTTTTTTTTTAATGAGTAATGTATCCTTCTTTAACTTGCCCTGCAGGTCTTGAGGACAGTTATGGTGCAACTCCTCTCACACCTGCTGCAAGAATATCTGCACTTAACATCGTGGGAGACTTACTGCGAAAAGTGGGGGTGAGTGATTACCTGCTAGCTAGTGCTCTTGGAAAGGTAGAGCTGTCTGAATCTGCAGCCCGTATTATTTGTGCTGCTGCTCAGGGGAGTCTGGAAGGAGTATCTTGCCTGCAGGTTAGCTAAGCATGGCCTTGAAATGTGATTCAGACTTTCTATGTTTCTGACTAAGCCCCAACTACAGATGCTCTACTCTTCTAAGATCTTATCCACATTGGATAAGATCTTCCTCTACAAATTTCTGAAAATGCATACGCAGAAAGAATAAATCAGCATGAGTAAAATGAGGGATCTGCTCCTATGAAACGCAGAGAAGAAAGTAGGCTGATGCCTGCTCTCCAGGGGCCTTCTGGTGAACCTTAAGGATCCAGTAGTCTTTTGAGCAAGGCCGAATGCCATGTTAAGCTGTAGTTTGACGCTTAAGGTAGTGCTGTTCTGGAAAAGTTATCCCATGACTTCCTTCTGTTTTCTCCCTTACCCCTGTGCTGTGTTGATACAGCATTTATATGACTTTTTGATGGGCTGAGCTGCAGAGCTGATACAGCTGAAGAGTAATCCAGCAGCAAAGGTGGGGTAATCTAGGATGAGAGCCTGTGGTGGAGAATAGGATGTCACTGGTTCAGTCCCCTCGGGTATACCACCTAGTACATACAACGTAATATGTGTCTAGGGAAGCAGAGAGCTCAAATGAACGCTTAGTGATCTAAGACGTGATGCCTGTAAGAAAGATGTCAAAATCTCCCTGAGGAAGCTGAAGACTTTGTGGTCCTGCTGGTGAACAGCATCAACTCCTTAACTTCCCCTACAGAAACAGCCATCCAGCTTTAGAGGGATCAGTGGATTCATCTCTTCAGAAATTCAGAACTTGTGCTGCACTGGGGCGTCACAGGTTCTTCTACTAGATAACTCATTCTGGAAAAAAAAAACAAAACAACCTACTCTCTTAATGCTGTCTTGGTGTGCCACAATGCCATCTTGTGAAAGAGAAGGGTGATATAATCTGACACTTGCCTCATCTGTGTTTACATTAGGCTTTGGAGTCCAAACTTGCATCTTGCCGAAACTTTGTGTATGACCAGTCTCCAAACAGAACCACAGTGTCCATGTACATGAACAGAGATGTCCTTGAAACACGCCTGAGTCCTCATCAGCCTCTATGTGACACAGGGTGAGCACTGTTCTCTGCTGTTGTGTCTTTGTGAGAACTGTTGGTGTTAGAACTTAGTGACTAGTACTGTTGTATTTAGTAGTATATCTTTGTTTTGGTAGAGACAGATTTTGAAAGATATGGAATTAGTTATTCAGGATTATGATTTGAATGTTTCAGATCAGTTTAAAACTTGGAATCACTAGCTGCTGAAATTCAAAGATTAGCTGGAATCAAGTTCTGAGAAACCACAAATTTGAAGCAAATGTAACGTGTTTTATTATAAACCCAGTGTTTAAATGGAATGAAGTACAACAGGGGAGCTCTTACTTACTGGCTCAATTTGGTTTATGCTTATGCTCTTGTACAAGTGATGTCTCAGGAACATTATGGTGTGTTGGGACTTCCCTTAGCACAGTTAAGATTCTCATTTATGGGAGAACTGGTGAAAAAGCAAATAATGGGTTCACTCAGAATGCTTTACTGTTGCTAAGATCTCTTTCCAAGAACAGCTGACAGGAAGTTACTTGACTCAATCTATAAATTTGTCTGAACATTTGAACTGTTTACAAAAAAAAAGAAAAATCAGCAAGTTTATCACAAATTGCAGTTCAGTGTCTGTTTAAACCCTGCCAATCCTGTACTGCACATTCTTTAGATTCTCTGTAAATTAAGTGCCTACAGTACAGTTTATTCCAGACTTAATTATTCAGCTAGACCCTTGCGCTGAAGATACTGGTTTGTCCTGTTGCTCAGTGCCCAGAGTTGTTGTGTGGAGAGAGTGCTCCACATTGTGCTTGCTATCCCAGCCTGAGGAGAAACCTCATGAAAGCTCCTACAAGAAAGCTTCAAGGGCCATACATTTAAATATTCAAGCAGCTGATAATATATCTACTGCTGTAATGCTAGAACCGAATTTCCAACACCTGTAAAAGATAGCTTCTGACTACTCAGAGGGAAACAGAGCCCTGTGTTACAGTGGAAACTCAGCCCAGTTAAGCAGTGGGCTCACTTGGTGCTCAGAGTGGTATTCTCTTACCTGTTCATTTCTCAAACTGAGTGGTGTACCCTGGAAGTTACTCCGAAGGTGGTAACACCGAGCAAGAAATGCATTAACTTCTATTTTGTATTTGCAGGTTAGTGAAACGCCTGGAGTTTGGAACACGGCCTTCAAATATTCCAGGACCAATGAGCCATCCCTCGCAAAGTGTTGTCAAGATGCTGCTATGAAAAGCCTGGCTGGCTTTGGGAAAAGAACAAAAAAAATTTAAACTTTAGTTTTAAAGAGAACATCAATGAGCAAACAAGCAGCAGTCTCAGGATAAGCGAGAACTGAGCAAGAAGCTGCAATTGGCAACAGCCTCCTGTGGCCTTGTTTAGTCTGGCCTCTTGGTGGAGTTCTGTGGGTAGTATGATAAAGCAATGCTGCCTAGCAGTGCGAGGCTTAGAGTTGCTTCCTACATCAGTTGCTGTATGTAGCTCCTCGAAAGTTGCTTCTTTCAATGCTGCCAGTCAAATCCATTGTCCCTCTATCTACAACAGAGACCGTATTCCCTATGCTTTTGGTGTTAATACAGCACCATGGTGTTCTGGCTGAAATTCTGGTTGTCCTGGCCTTCTATCATTGGTGTTGTATTCTGCAGTCACCCCAATTAGAGGAGTGTTTTTATGTGGAGAAAGGTGTATTTCTGTGGGGAAGCTGCCCAGCTCTCTGTGGGATGTTTGCCGGGTCAGAATCTTGCTATGCAGAAACCTGCCTCTGTAGTGGTAAGATGCTTTTGTAAGCTATGATTTACCATTAAGAATATGTCATGGTTAAAGGTGAGGAATGCCTAAGGCTTAAGAGTACTTGGGAGATCCCGGAGCTAACAGCAAGATAAGAGACTTTGGACTGGCTTAGCATATAGACATTTCTTTTTGCCATATTGTGGCTCATAAGGCCTGGCTGTTGTAGGAAGCAAGAGACCTGATTAAGTTCCTAGTTCTAACATCTTAATAGGTGGGTTTTACTGCTTTACAGACCTCCCTTTATAAATGTGCCTTGGGTGTTAGTGATTTTTTTCTTGGAGTTTTTTATGAGAATATATGCTTTTAGCTGTTACTCATTTAGTCATGTTTTTTAACCCTTTGTGCTAGACAAGTGTATATGAGTAGAGGACTATTTTTAAATCTGTTTTTTCCCCTATAGATTATTACAGCATTTTAGTTTGTTTTTTTTTTTTTAATGGAGTAGGTTCACTCACAGTATTAATGTACCTTACAGAAGCCTGTATTTGCAAAAATGATCATGACTAAACAATTCATGTTTTTTGCAAGGGGTGGGGTAGGGAGAGCTTACATGACAAAAGAATGCATAAATAGGTTTGGGTGTTTTGGGGTTTGTGGAGGTTTTTTTAAGAAAATCCTGTGAAAACAGCCACTGTTGCATCTATTTCTCTGGAATAGGGAATAACCACAGATCATTCCCATATCTACAAAGTTGGCTTAACTGGGGAACAGAATAAAGCTTATTTTGAATGCTAGATGTTGATTCATTTTGATTTTTTTTTGCAAGTTGTCACTGTGGTTTATGCACAGATGTTTGCTACCAGTTTCTGGTCTGTTTCTGATCAATGATTTTTGATGAAAATATTTTGCTGAATCATATTTAAAGATTTTCCTACACCTCTTTTCACGGTTTCCTACCCTAAAGTATGTAAATACTGACGTAGCTAAAGATGCCTCTGGGATTTACAGTGCTTAGTATTGGCATTGGGGGCTCTTAAAATACCAAACTCTGGCTGTGTTAACATGATTTTTGTCCTTTCACACAGGGAGTTGACACTTTTCTTACCCATGAGGAGCAGAAGACTGTGGGCTATTTTGTTAGTTGTGCTGACACATGGACTGCGGTTCAGTGGACTCTGTAGCCTGGAGGGATCAGTGAAGACAAGCTGCATTTCCCTTACCTTGCCAGAATTTGCCTGCTTGGTGAGCAAGTTGGCTTACAGTCAGATTGAGATATAGCCTTGAGATAAGGTAGAAAGTTGGAAAATCATGGCCATGATAATACTATGTATTTTATGAATATACTATTAATGTGACTACAGATGTAATCAGGGAGGCTAGGGGTGGATATGTTACTGAGAACTGTCAAAATTCAGTCTAGAAAGGTCACATCTGTAATGGTACAGAGAGGAACTTTTTTTTTTTTTAGGAGAGAAACTTCGGTTCAGCCACTGTTGCAGAAGAATGCGTTCTGTGGTGTTACTAAAGAAAATGTTACTTCTTATTTTGTCCCAAGCTTTACAGAACAGGGACTGGAACCTATGGGCAGTGCACTAACTATGAGACCAACCTCTACCATTATGCATGTGAATTTTCTAGGTTGAATTCCTATTAGAAGTCTCCATGGTCAGTGTGCTGGTTCTGCTCCAAGCACTGGTGCCTAAGACCGTTCTGTATGAAGTCTGACTTCCTTGGTCTCCTTGTTCCCACACATGCAGGCTCACAAGCTGTGTGTTTAACAGCCAGCTCTTGAGCATATTTATAAAGCTGGGCTGCATGGCTGATCAATGAAAAGGTCTTATCTGATAGTCCTAACCCCTTCCTCTGCAGCTTGTCATCTCAATCACTCTAAATGGATTCTTATTTAAACTCTTCCTCTCTGCTCATGAAAGAGTAAAGAATTATTTGGGTTCTGATTCTGCTGGCTAAAGGGTGCCTAGTCTGAATCTCCAGTTCATGAACTCTGTGCTTTCTGGAACAATGCTTAGATTTAGGAGATGATTGCATTAGCTGTCAAGGTAGATGTTTTTGCATTACTTGCTCTCCCCGTAGTTTAAGGTTCACTTGCTGTACAGTCTAAGACATAGAGTAAGAACTTTACTTTATTTAGACTAACTCTGCACCTAGCGTTGCTGTGCATGGCTCTCTACTGCCCCAGTGTGACCACAAAGCTACCCGCTCTCTGAAAGTCCTAGAGCTGCATGGATTTGTGGTAGGTCCTGGTAGTTCTCAGGAGTGGGCTGCCGCCCTATAGTGCCCCAAAATTACAAATTAACTGCGTGCTGATCCTTTAATGCAGAATAGCTTGGCTTGCATCACTGCATTCAGTGTAGGCTGCTGTTTCTGATTTAGAGGCTTCAGTTGGAAATATACCTACACATACAGATTTCAGGGGTGGGTTCAGCTGCTGACAGACAGACCCTTAGGGCCCTGCCTGCCTTCCAGCTGCTACACTAGAATGCTGCAAGTCTCCTGCAGTTCCTGTGTCATGTTTCTCAGTCCTTGGGTACATCCTAGGGCACCACAGTTAGCGCTGTGTGTCCATGAGGTAATCAAACCTGTGTCAAGTACTTCATGTCATTTTATATTCACCTCAGTGAACATTTTTTATTCCTTGAAAAGCAGTTGCGTAGGAGAAAATCATGGGTTTTTTTCCCAATGGTTAGAGATGACCTCTTTTAAAAAATATTTGAGTTGTAAAGAAGCTGTACTGCATCCCCCGTTCTGTTCAAGCATGCTGTATTGCACCCAAGTTACATCCGTACACAAGAATACTGGAGTAGTTTTTATAGCCTTTTATTAGTGTGTAAGCACATCCATGGTGCATATAAAACTGTAACAGTTGACTTAATTTGAACAAATGATATTTTATTTTTCAGTAAGTGATTAAAAAGGCACTTCCACCTTGTGAATGGTGCATCAGGGGTGTAGTAACCAGAAAAAAACCTATATTAATCAAATACTCAAGACAAAATGAAAGTTTAAGAAAAAAACTGACCAATGCCTTTTTGTTTTCCTTTCAACAGTCTCACAAATCCTGTGTAAACTATAGTTCACTGGGATTGGAATCATCTGAGGTACTAGAACTCACTTTCTCGAAGATTCTCAAAGTGAATTACTCTGAGCATTAAAAAAAACCCCAACCTTTTCAAATACACTTCATGGTAAAATAAGTTTTGGAGTACTTTTAACATCAGTCTATACATTGGAAACAAGGCAGTTGTGCTTTTATCATTGTCAGAGGAGTGGGTGTATGTGATCTTGACACTAAGAGTAGACTTATACAGTGCTAAATATCATCCTCCCTCCCCCTGCTGCAGTGCAATTTTTTTAAAGCGTGTTTATTCACTGGCTTTTGTTCCATTGAAATCTCCATCTCTTGCATCCATTTCTTCATCACCTCCTTCTGTTGCATTCTCAATTATTCTTCTGCCTCCAGATCTACGGGGTGGGGCAAAAGATGCTGGCTCATTTCCCCTCCTGCAGTAAGAGGAAAAAAAAACCAACCAAAAAATCAGGTATTAGGTCATCTGCTGTCCTCACAAATAAGTATAGAATTTTGGAACAGGACGTGTGGGGATGACGTTTTTAAATGCAGAACAGCCAAGAGTTGTGGGCCTCTAATACAACTTTCTGTTCTGTGGCATATAAGAATAATTTCTGGACAGGTTGAGACTCCCAGTTGCTTGAAACAGTGATGGGATTCCTGTACTTTTATTTAAAGTTCTCATCTGTCCCAAGCCTCTCCCCCCCTCTTCATTTCACTGTTTTTCCCTATGGGGACTGTAGCTGACTGTGCTTGGAAGGAATGGGAAAGGGCCCTGCTTGCACCCACAGCACCAGGGGATTGTCCTTCCTGACCCTTCAGAAGAGCAAGGAGAGAGCAAGCTTGTGCTGAAATTCTGACCCGCAGTCTGAATCAACCCACCAGTTACTGAAGGCCCATGAGACCTGGGACTGGAGTGGTTCTGCAGGTGTCCACAGGCATTTTGGAGCCCACAGTCCCTCTGCAAAGGCTGCACTGGTCAGAGCACCACATTATGACATCTTAGGTTGTGAGTGGCTCAAATCTCTCCCAACAGAGAGGAAACCATTGCTGCTTTGGAACTCAGGTGCTGACAACAGTGCAAGTGTCTTGCAAAAGAGTTTATAAAAAATGCTTTTCCCCATCTTACCCCCTTTTTCTCTCCCATGTCCCTCCCATCACCATATATTTTATAGCCACAGCCCAAGGCAGGGACTCTTTAGTCCTTCAAGGTTAATTTTTTGGGGAGGTGTGAGCAAGTGAGACAGAAGACGGGTTCATCTCTTCTTGTCCTCCATTGCTACTGTGCTACAAAACACTTCAGTTTTGTAACATGGTTTCTCACTTGCCCCTTATTAAGCAAACCTTTGTAAAGGCTTGAGACCACAGACATAAACAATAAAATAAACTCATGATCACTGAATATTGTGCCAAAATTACTTAATTTGGTGTTAAGTACATCTGATTCTGCACTTTTGGGTACAGCAATCATGCATAAATATTTAAAGGCTTGTCTTGTCCTTGCAAAAGACTAAGCCAGTGGTGTTCCTTCTTGAAACAGCTATTTAAGTCCCGAGTTCAATCTTCCATAAAAGGGAAGTGGGTAGGAACATTGGCTGGACTAACTTATTTCAGAGGCCCAAATCTGTGTTTCCAAGGTGGTCTGTTTTCCACATTTCTGCCCTTAAACTTCCGTGTGAGCAAGCATTTAGCTGGATAATAAAGCTTCATTTAAGATCTGCTGTTAGTTAACTGTAGTTGTTCTGGTGCTAATGGCATGTATTGAACAGGAGGATGTGTCATTTTTACCCTGGCATGTGCTTGACAGTCTAACAGCAGTGTCTACTATTTTGATAGATACTTGTTATTACTGTTTAACAACAAAGTACTAGTTAGGTCAGTAAATTCATTAATTCTTGTCACTAAAGGAAGAGCTCTTTATCCCCTTGGACTCCTGCTGTCTGGACTCATTTCCTCAGAAGTCATTTGTAAGATAGTTGGGGTTTTTTATGCTGCAGTAATTCACTGAAGTGTTATAAGAGAACATGGGAATGATGGGGAATAACAGGAAGAGTATAACCAAATTGTGCAGTACACTTTTGGCTACAAAGTGAACTCCTGATCACACACTAACTACTTATTAACATAAACTGTTACAGTATGCATAAACTTAATGCTACTTTAAAGTGGTATTGGCCCTGTAGATAAACACTTTTTGCTATATTTACTCCTCTTAAACAGGTTTATGGGTTTGATAATATTCATGTGGTCATTTGCATTAGTACCTTTAGAATAATGCATACAGTTGAGACAAGCCTTAAACATTAGTGATTTCTTTGCAGCTCTGTATTTAATCTACCTTTGAACAAGTGCTACTGGAGTAGTGCTTGAATAACAGTCTGACTGGAAATATTAGGCTGACTAAAAGGCACATGCAAGGACAAGACATCATCTTTAAATATTTGTGTATTCACAGTGAAATCCAGCATATGTAAAATAGAAGATATACAAATATTACAAGGCAGTAGCTCTTTAATTTTTGCAACAGCGGGTATTATTCCTATCTCTAGAAAATGTGATAAAGTATAATACTGTGCTGTGCTAGGTTACAGGGTGAACGTTAATCTCTGTTTCTGTGCTTTGTTTTAATAACAGTAGTCAAACAACGTGATGTCTGCAAAATAGCTCTAAAAACCAACATAATACCTATTTGTAAGCAATACAGGTAGG